TTTTTAAATAATGTCTAGGGGCCATGTCTTAATAAATAATGTCTAGGGGCCATGTCTTAATAAATAATGTCTAGGGGCCATGTCTTGTTCAGTGTTCAGTCTTAATAAATAATGTCTAGGGGCCATGTCTTGTTCAGTGTTCAGTCTAGGTAAATGTTTAGGGGTGATGTCTTGATATATGTTTAGGGGTCATGTCTTGATAAACATCAAAGGGTCTTGTCTTGATAAATAATGTCTAGGGGCCGTGTCTTAATTAATGTTTAGGGGTCATGTCTTGATAAATGTTTAGGGGTCATGTCTTGATAAATGTTTAGGGGTCATGTCTGGATAAATGTTTAGGGGTCATGTCTGGATAAATGTTTAGGGGTCATGTCTTGATAAAGGTTTAGGGGCCATGGCTTGATAAATAATGTCTAGGGGCCATGTCTTAATAAATGTTTAGGGGCCATGTCTTAATAAATGTTTAGGGGTCATGTCTTGTTAAATGTTTAGGGGTCATGTCTTGATAAACATCAAAGGGTCTTGTCTTGATAAACATCAAAGGGTCATGTCTTGATGAAGGTCTAGCACAGCAAGCCAGCTAGCGACCCTGTGAGGCATACAGCAGAGTCTTGATGAAGGTCTAGCACAGCAAGCCAGCTAGCGACCCTGTGAGGCATACAGCAGAGTCTTGATGAGGGTCTAGCACAACAAGCAGCTAGCGACCCTGTGAGGCATACAACAGAGACTTGATGAAGGTCTAGCACAGCAAGCCAGCTAGCGACCCTGTGAGGCATACAGCAGAGACTTGATGAAGGTCTAGCACAGCAAGCCAGCTAGCGACCCTGTGAGGCATACAGCAGATGACCAGAGAAAATTGGGTTTCCCTAACGAAGAAAACTAGAGAATCATTGGAGCGGTCTGGAATAATTGTCTCCCAGTGGCCAGGCTTCCATCAGCTTCAATCAACTTATTATTTCATCTCCATCTAGATTGCTTTTTTCTCACTCCCCAACAGGCAAGTCACAGCTAGTCGGAGCAGGGGCGGTTTTAAAATAGGGGGATAAAACAGTCCATGTTGTCAAGCTGTGGTAGGTGTCATGGTGTCAAGCTGTGGTGTCATGGGGTCAAGATCATGTGGTGGGTGTCGTGGGGTCAAGGTCATGTGGTACGTGTCGTGGGGTCAAGCTCATGTGGTAGGTGTTGTGGGGGTCAAGGTCATGTGGTAGGTGTCATCAATGTCCAAACTATACCATAAATATTCGCGCAACAATAAAAACTAGTTTAAAAACAAAGGACTATTTAAATTGAAGTAGATTTTCATCAACTTTCCCAAAGATGTTCACCTGTAAATAAAAGTTACGTTAAAACACCTTTTCCCCCATAGAAGCGAGTTAGCTCCATGGATGCGAGTTACCCCCACGGATACGAGTTATCCCCCGTGGATACGAGTTATCCCCCGTGGATACGAGTTATCCCCCATGGATGCGAGTTATCCCCCATGGATACGAGTTATCCCCCGTGGATACGAGTTATCCCCCGTGGATACGAGTTATCCCCCATGGATGCGAGTTATCCCCCATGGATGCGAGTTATCCCCCATAGATGCGAGTTATCCCCCATGGATGCTAGTTTCCCCCCCCCCCCCACCCTCCCCACCCCCCATAGATGCGGGTTAGCTCCCGCCCAAGCTGACTCGCACAGCGTGAATGTGAACAAGACCCAAAGTTTTATTTCGAGTGCAGCTGTCGGGTCCTCAGAATATATCAACATGTTTTCATAATGTTGCAGGGCTTTCAATATAAACAACAGGATACATTATTACATTATGTCGTCAGGGACTGGATGAAACATCGAGTCATAAAATACCAGACGCGAGTATCAAACAACAACACAGAGAAGAAAGTATTTGAGTAGGAAAATGTGTCAATAGAGGAATATATTTGTGGAAGGAAATGTGTAAATAAACAATATGACTGACGAGAAAAATGTGCCAATAGAAGAATATATTTGTGGAAGGAAATGTGTAAATAAACAATATGACTGACGAGGAAAATGTGCCAATAGAAGAATATATTTGTGGAAGAAAATGTGTAAATTGAATAATTTATCTGAGGTTCTAATACATCGGAACATCCCACCACAACTCTAGTTAACTGCCATCCATATTTTCTCATGTTTACATCTGAGAAAACTGCCCGCCATCGACTTCCCCACTTCATAGCTCGGCTGGTGGAGAAAGGGGAAGAGGGGGGGGGGGTTAATAAATAAGATAGATCTAGGGATGAATAGATTGGTTAGGCCAGTGACAAACGTTTCCTATTGAATTTCCTTAAGCAATTGGAGCAAGCATGGCAGAATTACATGGCAGATATAAAGGGCGATCCAATATTAAACCATGGAGCCGTGACAGAAGCATTTCCACAGGTTTAAATTTGATCGTGCGGAGACTGAATGCATCTCTGTCGGGACATGAAATCTTTCAGTCCGTTCTCACTGACTCCCAGCAACAATGCCACATGACTAGTGAGGTAAAAAAAACTGTCTCACTGACTCCCAGCAACAATGCCACATGACTAGTGAGGTAAAAAAAACTGTCCGGAGGGGCAGAAAAAATCTATCACCCGAGAACAGTCCCTGAGCCAACGTAATCCCCCCATCTTGACTCCGTCTTACAGGGGAAGTGATGAGTAGTGTAGGCTCTTCATTCTTTTTCCATTAGCAATTCTAAAATTGGGTGCCGTTCAGCTCAAGTGCTGTGACGGCCTCGACCTTTCCTAATCAACCCAATTGAGGTGAGTTACTGCTGGAGATTGGGTTCTGTTGACAATTTAAAGGCTGCTGGGGTAGGGGTGGACTGGCCGGGTGAAGACCCAGGTGGGCAGGGGGTCGGGTCGAGTGAAGACCCAGCTGTGGTAGTGTGTGGACTGGCCGAGAGACCAGTTGGTAGGGGCGTGGACTGGCCGAGTGAAGACCCAGCTAAGTAATGAAGGAAGTCATCTAACGACTTGTCTGACCAGAGGCACCACGACGCAGACACGCCATATTGGTAGCTGACCCGAAATTTGATCCCCGAGCTTTTAGACGGCCAGGATTAAGTCACGACCAACACGTCACGCGCTGACCGACTCGTCACTGACTGGACCTGAAGATGCCAGTGATTGGTAATTAACGCCTGATGTCTGGGGCTGATATTAAACTCTAAACCAAACACGATTAGGGTTTCGTGGGAGACCGCTAGAGAAGTTTGTTATCTGATCAACACTAAAGTATCTAAAACCTCTGACGGCTCGTCGGCCGACCACTAATGTCAGAGTTATGGCAAAGTTCCCCGTGAGCAGCAGTCAGCGAGAGACTGCTCACTCCCCCCAGCCCGCCTCTTGGACATGTAGCTCCACTAAGCCACTCGGGCCGGGCTGTCAACTTCAAATTAATGTACACAGGAAATCACTCATAGGGGGGAATCAATGACGATTATGGACATTTCACTTACCACTCCTCCGCATATATATATATATATATATATATATATATATATATATATATATATATATATATATATATATATATATATATATACATATATATATATATATATATATATATATATATATATATATACATATATACATATATATATATATATATATATATATATATATATATATATATATATATATATATATATATATATATATATATATATATATATATATATATATATATATATATATATATATATATACACTCTATAAAATTACGCGAACTATTTTGTTCTGCTAATTACTTAGTTCAGTGTAATACAACCCTCTTCGGTTCAAAAGACTAGCCCCTGGGTGAAAGTTTTTAAAAAATAATTTCAGTGCTACAAAGCTAGAGAGACGCAGCAACAGGAAGTATAGGGTCTGACAGCAGTCTGGCCACAGACGGGACATATTTCATAGCTACTGCTCGATCAATAGTCCTAATAGTTTTTCTTGTTGCTTTCATGATTTTAAGTAACCAACACTGGAATATATTGTAGCACACAACACCATCTAAAGCACAGATCATCTAAAGCATACAACACAATTTAAAGCACGTGGTGGCAAAATCATCTAAAGCAGCAACATTAATTTGATTGCAATATCCCAAACTTGAAACTCCCGTCCACAACAGCGACTGGTTAAACCAGCCACATCCACCCCACCCTCCTACAGTTAAACGCCAGTCGACCAAACAAGCAACATAAATAACCAGGAGAAAGAAAAGGCACCGAATCTAAATCGTTTCTTTCAAGGCAGATCCAGTTTCCCATTTGTCCGGGTGACGTGGGAACAGTGTACTAAAAACCTTCTGACCCGCACAACGAAACAAATTGATCGATTTCTGATTGTCAGGGGAGAGGCTGGGCCCGGCGTCTTATGTTGTCTACTGTAATGACATCCATGGACTGGCCACACGACTCAGAGTCAGCTACGGTCTAACAAGACCAATTACCCAGCTTAACACTGCAGACTTTTGGTAGCCATACTATCACACAACTACACATCGATCTATGGACGCAACCATACCCCCCGCTATAGACGCAACCATACCCCCAGCTGTGGACGAAACAATACCCCCAGCTGTGGACGCAACCATACCCCCAGCTGTGGACGCAACAATACCCCTAGCTGTGGACGCAGCCATACCCCCAGCTATGGACGCAGCCATACCCCTAGCTGTGGACGCAACCATAGCCCCAGCTGTGGGCGCAACCAAACCCCCAGCTGTGGACGCAACCAAACCCCCAAACCCCACGGCCAATTAAAGAATATTTTACACAACATTCATGTTATCATAAAGGACAAATTAATGAGAAAAAAAAGTATAGGCTGAAAAACATGACGCACAATTTGAAGCCACAAACGTACACTGGTATATAACAATCCCATCCCATAATTTGGGAATGACATGTGTAAAAACACGCCGAGTAACAAAAAACTACCCCCTCAATCCGACAAGTTGCGCGGACGTAAAGCAAGTCCGAGGCGTCCAACATGACCCCACGATTTAAAGACTCCCCCAACATGACCTCACGATTTAAAGACTCCCCCAACATGACCTCACGATTTAAAGACTCCCCCAACATGACCCCACGATTTAAAGACTCCCCCAACATGACCCCACGATTTAAAGACTCCCCCAACAGGACCTCACGATTTAAAGACTCCCCCAACATGACCTCACGATTTAAAGACTCCCCCAACATGACCTCACGATTTAAAGACTCCCCCAACATGACCCCACGATTTAAAGACTCCCCCAACATGACCTCACGATTTAAAGACTCCCCCAACATGACCCCACGATTTAAAGACTCCCCCAACATGACCCCACGATTTAAAGACTCCCCCAACATGACCTCACGATTTAAAGACTCCCCCAACATGACCCCACGATTTAAAGACTCCCCCAACATGACCCCACGATTTAAAGACTCCCCCAACATGACCTCACGATTTAAAGACTCCCCCAACATGACCCCACGATTTAAAGACTCCCCCAACATGACCCCACGATTTAAAGACTCCCCCGGGACGGGAGAGACAACAATTAGGTTACCCAGAGAACAAGTCAATTTTTGTCCATTAACTCCGTGCTTACAGTCACTTCTTATTACAACCACTGCCATGGCCTTTGGCGTTCAACTACCATATTGTTACACTTAACAATGTTAAAAGCAACACTCAAAGTAGAATTTATTCTGAAGAGGTGGGGGATGTCAGAAAATGCTACATCAAGATTTAGTAAGATTAGGTTCTATTTGAAGGAGACAATCTAGAAAAATGACGAAGTAAACAATTAAAACCTAACAACAGAGACTCTAGCTGATGGATTTTTCACATCACAAGAGAGAAAAGGTTTTAAGTCAGACATACACAAGCTGGTTAGCGCATATCTTTATTGTTCTGTTTAGTACTGAGCTTATACCGACAAGACTTACAAAACACAATAAACAAAAGCTGAACAAGGGGGATCAACTATGCATAACCCCAGTACGTAGCAATGTTATTCTCACTCAATGCCAACAGGGGAATATTGCTACAATTCAGCAATACAACAGGGGAATATTGCTGCAAGATGTAGTTATACGTGTATCAGAGAGAGGCAGCGGAGTGTCTGGTGAAGTTTGGCCATAAATATTCCAAATCTTCAGATCCTAATCGAATTATCTAAAGCCAGTCTCCACTGTCGTGCCGTCCTTGGTCCGCCCGGTGAGGGGCGCCAGACTCATCAAGTCTGGAGGTCACGTGCTCTCAGAGGGCGTCAGAGAATAATACACCCCCGCCAGGGTGGGGCTGCTGTCCGGCATCCATTTTTTAACGGGAAAAATCTTTCTCTAGAGCCCACTGTATTGTGTTTCCTACCCACAACATAGGAGAAATCTTTCTCTAGAGCCCACTTTGTTGTGTTTCCTACGTAAAACATAGGAGAAAACTTTCTCCAGAGCCCTCTTTGTTGTGTTTCCTACGTAAAACATAGGAGAAATCTTTCTCTAGAGCCCACTTTGTTGTGTTTCCTACGTAAAACATAGGAGAAATCTTTCTCTAGAGCCCACGTTGTTGTGTTTCTTACGTAAAACATAGGAGAAATCTTTCTCTAGAGCCCACTTTGTTGTGTTTCCTACGTAAAACATCGGAGAAAACTTTCTCCAGAGCCCTCTTTGTTGTGTTTCCTACGTAAAACATCGGAGAAAACTTTCTCCAGAGCCCTCTTTGTTGTGTTTCCTACGTAAAACATAGGAGAAATCTTTCTCCAGAGCCCACTTTGTTGTGTTTCCTACGTAAAACATAGGAGAAATCTTTCTCTAGAGCCCACTTTATTGTGTTTCCTACGTAAAACATAGGAGAAATCTTTCTCTAGAGCCCACTTTATTGTGTTTCCTACGTAAAACATAGGAGAAATCTTTCTCTAGAGCCCACTTTGTTGTGTTTCCTACGTAAAACATAGGAGAAATCTTTCTCTAGAGCCCACTTTATTGTGTTTTCTACCTACAACATAGGAGAAATCTTTCTAAAGTAGAGCCTACTTGATTGTTTCCTACCTATAGCATGGTACAGGCACCAGAAAAAAATTAACCAGTCAGTGTATAGTGAAAAGTTTTATTAAAACTCTTCGGTGTCCCATACCTTGATATGTGAGCACAAAAACATAATGCTAGAGACAACACAATGGTAACATAAGAGAGAATTTGCGTTACAGGTGTCATGTACACATGGGGGGGGGGGTGTATGGCACCTGAGAGATGAGCATATAGATCAACGACAGCAGGTACTATAATAAGACAGGATCCTGCAATAAGAAAGTGACCACAAGATGATCATCACCCCCTACACACGGACAATGTAATGATTGAAAGACAGCGTCACGACTTTCCATCACGCAACTTGATTACCGGCTCTGTCCAACTCCCTCTTGAGCCGGTCTCAGCTTACCTAACCATCTCATCAACAAAAGATTCTATTAGCAAAGATGGCTTGAAAAGGTAAGTCCATTACCTTAATAGGGAAGGCTATTCAAGGCTGAGATCTCCTCAAGCAAATGTTGAAAAGTGAAAATCGGAAAAATTAACCAGAGATAGTTTAGTAACCCACACATAAAACAGTCAAATATACAGATAAAGAGAAGATAAATACTTAGATTGGTTATATTACTTACGAAATAGCTGTTATTTTGGCCATAATGTTGCTTTTATTTTAAATAATAATATTTCAGTTATTTTTGGGGAGGGGGGGGGAAGAGATAGAGTTTTTATTCTGATGTTATTTTGAGCAAGATGCTGCTGTTATTTTGGCCATGTTTTTTGATGGTGCTGTTATTTTGGCCATGTTTTTTGATGCTGCTGTTATTTTGGCCATGTTTTTTGATGCTGCTGTTATTTTGGCCATGTTTTTTGATGCTGCTGTTATTTTGGCCATGTTTTTTGATGCTGCTGTTATTTTGGCCATGTTTTTTGATGCTGCTGTTATTTTGGCCATGTTTTTTGATGCTGCTGTTATTTTGGCCATGTTTTTAGATGCTGCTGTTATTTTGGCCATGTTTTTTGATGCTGCTGTTATTTTGGTAATGATGTTGCTGTTGTCCTCGGGTATTTTCAATCTGATTTGCATCGATGTAACTGTTACATTAGGATTTAATGACACATTATTGTCAACTAGGTTATCAAATCACGGTTAATTAGTTAATTGTGACGGGAGACGTGAAACCCGACTCCCACGGGCTCGGGGTGAAAAAAGAAGGAAAAAGCCTCGTCTAATTCGTGCAGTGATAATAGCAGCCGTCGTCAGCTTTCATTAACAGGCTCAGCCACTCTCCTCCGCTATTTAAGTCCCATAGAATCTTACAGTCGACCACGACACGCCAAATCAATTTATTAGCCACTTCCGGGCACGCTATATGCCATCATTAGATTCTAGAAACTTCATTTCGGTGGGGTTAGGGAACATGATACAGGGTAGGACAGTGGGCTAAGATCTCAGAGGGAACATGATACAAGGTAGGACAGTGGGCTAAGATCTCAGAGGGAACATGATACAGGACAGTGGGCTAAGATCTCAGAGGGAACATGATACAGGGTAGGACAGTGGGCTAAGATCTCAGAGGGAACATGATACAGGGTAGGACAGTGGGCTAAGATCTCAGAGGGAACATGATACAGGGTAGTGGGCTAAGATCTCAGAGGGAACATGATACAGGGTAGGACAGTGGGCTAAGATCTCAGAGGGAACATGATACAGGGTAAGACAGTGGGCTAAGATCTCAGAGGGAACATGATACAGGGTAGTGAGTTAAGATCTCAGAGGGAACATGATACAGGGTAGTGGGCTAAGATCTCAGAGGGAACATGATACAGGGTAGGACAGTGGGCTAAGATCTCAGAGGGAACATGATACAGGGTAGGACAGTGGGCTAAGATCTCAGAGGGAACATGATACAGGGTAGTGGGTTAAGATCTCAGAGGGAACATGATACAGGGTAGTGAGTTAAGATCTCAGAGGGAACATGATACAGGGTAGTGGGCTAAGATCTCAGAGGGAACATGATACAGGGTAGTGGACTAAGATCTCAGGGGAACATGATACAGGGTAGTGGACTAAGATCTCAGAGGGAACATGATACAGGAAAGTGGGCTAAGATCTCAGGGGGAACATGATACAGGGTAGTGGGTTAAGATCTCAGAGGGAACATGATACAGGGTAGGACAGTGGGCTAAGATCTCAGAGGGAACATGATACAGGGTAGTGGACTAAGATCTCAGAGGGAACATGATACAGGGTAGGACATTGGGCTAAGATCTCAGAGGGAACATGATACAGGGTAGTGGGTTAAGATATCAGAGGGAACATGATACAGGGTAGTGGGCTAAGATCTCAGAGGGAACATGATACAGGGTAGGACAGTGGGCTAAGATCTCAGAGGGAACATGATACAGGACAGTGGGCTAAGATCTCAGGGGAACATGATACAGGGTAGTGGGCTAAGATCTCAGAGGGAACATGATACAGGGTAGTGGGCTAAGATCTCAGAGGGAACATGATACAGGGTAGTGGGCTAAGATCTCAGAGGGAACATGATACAGGACAGTGGGCTAAGATCTCAGGGGGAACATGATACAGGGTAGTGGGTTAAGATCTCAGAGGGAACATGATACAGGGTAGGACAGTGGGCTAAGATCTCAGAGGGAACATGATACAGGGTAGTGGACTAAGATCTCAGAGGGAACATGATACAGGGTAGTGGACTAAGATCTCAGGGGAACATGATACAGGGTAGTGGACTAAGATCTCAGAGGGAACATGATACAGGACAGTGGGCTAAGATCTCAGGGGGAACATGATACAGGGTAGTGGGTTAAGATCTCAGAGGGAACATGATACAGGGTAGGACAGTGGGCTAAGATCTCAGAGGGAACATGATACAGGGTAGTGGACTAAGATCTCAGGGGAACATGATACAGGGTAGTGGGCTAAGATCTCAGAGGGAACATGATACAGGGTAGTGGGCTAAGATCTCAGAGGGAACATGATACAGGGTAGTGGACTAAGATCTCAGGGGAACATGATACAGGGTAGTGGACTAAGATCTCAGAGGGAACATGATACAGGACCGTGGGCTAAGATCTCAGGGGGAACATGATACAGGGTAGTGGGTTAAGATCTCAGAGGGAACATGATACAGGGTAGGACAGTGGGCTAAGATCTCAGAGGGAACATGATACAGGGTAGTGGACTAAGATCTCAGAGGGAACATGATACAGGGTAGGACATTGGGCTAAGATCTAAGAGGGAACATGATACAGGGTAGTGGGTTAAGATATCAGAGGGAACATGATACAGGGTAGTGGGCTAAGATCTCAGAGGGAACATGATACAGGGGAGGACAGTGGGCTAAGATCTCAGAGGGAACATGATACAGGACAGTGGGCTAAGATCTCAGGGGAACATGATACAGGGTAGTGGGCTAAGATCTCAGAGGGAACATGATACAGGGTAGTGGGCTAAGATCTCAGAGGTAACATGATACAGGACAGTGGGCTAAGATCTCAGGGGGAACATGATACAGGGTAGGACAGTGGGCTAAGATCTCAGAGGGAACATGATGCAGGGTAGTGGACTAAGATCTCAGAGGGAACATGATACAGGGTAGTGGACTAAGATCTCGGGGGAAC